CGTTTCTTGTGTTTTGACAGCTGTATAATGGATCAGTAACGTTGTATCATTTCTGAATCCTTTGTAAAGCCATCAACAAAACAGCCACATGTCACTTTCCCTGTGATGGATCGTCCCCATTATGTATCAAATACCTGCAGGAGTGTCCCCCACAAACACACACAAAGGTTTTCCTATCTTCAGGCGGACATTAGCAACACGGTGGCTCGAAAGTGGAGTTTCTGAGACCACTAATGTCCCTCTGTGGGTAACTATCACCCCTAATGTCCTTCTGTGGGTAACTATCACCCCTAATGTCCCTCTGCGGGTAACCATCCCTGTGTGTGGGTGTGTGGCTGCAGGTGACGGCTCCTGAAGAGAAAACTGGGAGAATATGATTGATGAGCTTTGGACTTAGACTTCAAAGCAAACTGTGGCTGAGCTGAAAGGATCGAAACCGCAATTAAATATCAGTTAAACTCATATTCTGTGTTGTTCAAGTTGTGGAGAAAAATGCTGTATTGGAGAGATTTCTATGAGTTTGAGCTAATTACAGGTCGTTTTACTGTTTAATCACTCTGATGTGGCTCAAGGGCACAAGGGCACAGCACCAACACCACCTGAGAAAGCCCAGGAGTTCAACTCCATTCAGTGTGTTTCAGTATCGCCATAAATCACAACATTATCCTACATAATGCAGTATCCTACAAAACTCTACTCTACTCTACTCTACTCTACTCTACTCTACTCTACTCTACTCTACTCTATCCTACTCTACTCTACTCTACTCTACTCTACTCTATCCTACTCTACTCTACTCTACTCTACTCTATCCTACTCTACTCTACTCTACTCTACTCTACTCTACTCTATCCTACTCTACTCTACTCTACTCTACTGGGTGTGTGTCTCTAGGTTTGTGTGTGTGTGCCTGGGTGTGTGTGGACACCCTGGAGCTCCTCATTGTTGCTTGAGTGACAGTCTCTGTGTGTGATAGTGTGTTAGTCTGTATGAGTGTATGAGTGTGTGTCTCTCTGTGTATGTGTGTGTGTGTGTGTGTGTGTGTATGAGTGTGTGTCTCTCTCTGTGTGAGTGACAGTCTGTCTCTCCCTCACGCTGGTCTTGGCCCCATGTGGACAGGACCATGAGGCCGGCCGCCTGTCAATCATTCTGCTCTGTTCTCAGACTTTTCTAAATGTGTGTTTCTGAAACCGAAGAAATCACTTTGAACGATTCTTACAGAAGAGATGGGTCTGAGGCGGGTGCTCTGTGTCCGGGTCAAACAAATGTAACATTCAATTAAATGCAATGTATTTATGTTTATATTTTGTTACCTACACACTTAGTTGTGGGACTGATTCATTTAGCTGTAAACTTTGTAATTTGAGTTGTTTTTTGTGCAATGATAATTCATGTATTGAACATATCTGTTGTCCTCATCCACACCTCAGGCTCCTGTTCATAATCCTGCTCCACAGTTAGAAGCCATAAGTCAGATCCCACTTAGCCTAAGCTAGGACACCTACGAAGACACGGGGAGAACATGCAAACTCCACACAGAAAGGCCTGGAGGTGGAATTGAACCCAGGACCTTCTTGCTGTAAAGCACACGCTCTAATCACTGTCAAAGTGCCGCCCACGAGAGAGAGACAGCCAAAGTGCCGCCCGCAAGAGAGAGACAGACAAAGTGCCGCCTGCGAGAGAGAGACAGACAAAGTGCCGCCCGCGAGAGAGAGACAGCCAAAGTGCCGCCTGCGAGAGAGAGACAGCCAAAGAGACAGCCAAAGTGCCGCCTGCGAGAGAGAGACAGCCAAAGTGCCGCCCGCGAGAGAGAGACAGCTAAAGTGCCGCCTGCGAGAGAGAGACAGCCAAAGTGCCGCCTGTGAGAGAGAGACAGCCAAAGTGCCGCCTGTGAGAGAGAGACAGACAAAGTGCCGCCTGCGAGAGAGAGACAGACAAAGTGCCGCCCACGAGAGAGACAGACAAAGTGCCGCCCACGAGAGAGAGACAGACAAAGTGCCGCCCACGAGAGAGAGACAGACAAAGTGCCGCCCACGAGAGAGAGACAGACAAAGTGCCGCCCACAAGAGAGAGACAGACAAAGTGCCGCCCACGAGAGAGAGACAGCCAAAGTGCCGCCTGTGAGAGAGAGACAGCCAAAGAGACAGCCAAAGTGCCGCCTGCGAGAGAGAGACAGCCAAAGTGCCGCCCGCGAGAGAGAGACAGCCAAAGTGCCGCCCGCGAGAGAGAGACAGCTAAAGTGCCGCCTGCGAGAGAGAGACAGCCAAAGTGCCGCCTGTGAGAGAGAGACAGCCAAAGTCCCGCCCGCGAGAGAGAGACAGCTAAAGTGCCGCCTGCGAGAGAGAGACAGCCAAAGTGCCGCCCGCGAGAGAGAGACAGCTAAAGTGCCGCCTGCGAGAGAGAGACAGCCAAAGTGCCGTCTGTGAGAGAGAGACAGCCAAAGTCCCGCCCGCGAGAGAGAGACAGCTAAAGTGCCGCCCGCGAGAGAGAGACAGCTAAAGTGCCGCCCACGAGAGAGAGACAGAAGATACCTCAGTTCTCTGTGGTGTGTCTGTGACTTTGTCTTCTGTCCTATTCTGCTGTTGATTGTCTTTCCCCCAATGTGTATCTTTGTCTATATGTACCTGTGTCTATATGTACCTGTGTCTGTCTATATGTACCTGTGTCTATATGTACCTGTGTCTATATGTACCTGTGTCTGTCTATATGTACCTGTGTCTATATGTACCTGTGTCTATATGTACCTGTGTCTGTCTATATGTACCTGTGTCTATATGTACCTGTGTCTATATGTACCTGTGTCTGTCTATATGTACCTGTGTCTATATGTACCTGTGTCTCTGTCTATATGTACCTGTGTCTATATGTACCAGTGTCTATATGTACCTGTGCTCATATGTACCTGTGCTCATCTCATTTTGTTGCTGGTTCCTGTGTTTAGTTTGGCTTTTTGGTGTTTTTTCCTTGGACTTTCATGTTTAATCATTATTCTTTGTGATTTCTTGTGTTTTGGGTCCTCCTTCTTTCCGCTCCGTGACGGGACGTGGCTTTAACAGTGGGACGTCCCACCGACAGCAGCACTAACCCTGGGCCTGGATCTGGAGCCGACATGTTTGGTCTGAGAAACTCAGAAACACTCAGAAACTTCTTGAAAAATTCATATTTCTAGGGTTAGACGCACACACGGACGCACACATGGACGCACACACGGACGCACACACGGACTCACACACGGACGGACGCACACACGGACGCACACACGGACTCACACACGGACGCACACACGGACGCACACACGGACTCACACACGGACGGACGCACACACGGACGCACACACGAACTCAAACACGGACGGACGCACACACGGACGGACGCACACACGGACGGACGCACACACGGACGCACACACAGACGCACACACAGACGCACACACAGACGCACACACAGACGCACACACAGACGCACACACAGACGCACACACAGACGCACACACAGACGCACACTCGATGCTAAGCTAATTTGCAGATAGTCGTCATATTTCTGATCCAGAGCGGCTCGGCTTGTCCCTGAGCGGCCCATAAATCATCCGCCATGACAGCGCGGCCCACGATGAAAGCCTTCTGTCACTTCGTCCGTTTGTGGGCTTCTTCTCCTCTTTCTCTGTCCTCCTGTCTTCTCCTCTTTCTCTGTCCTCCTGTCTTCTCCTCTTTCTCTGTCTTCCTGTCTTCTCCTCTTTCTCCGTCCTCCTGTCTTCTTCTCTTTCTCTGTCCTCCTGTCTTCTCCTCTTTCTCTGTCCTCCTGTCTTCTCCTCTTTCTCTGTCCTCCTGTCTTCTCCTCTTTCTCCGTCCTCCTGTCTTCTTCTCTTTCTCCGTCCTCCTGTCTTCTCCTCTTTCTCCGTCCTCCTGTCTTCTCCTCTTTCTCTGTCCTCCTGTCTTCTTCTCTTTCTCTGTCCTCCTGTCTTCTTCTCTTTCTCTGTCCTCCTGTCTTCTTCTCTTTCTCTGTCCTCCTGTCTTCTTCTCTTTCTCTGTCCTCCTGTCTTCTTCTCTTTCTCTGTCCTCCTGTCTTCTCTTCTCTTTCTCTTTCCTCCTGTCTTCTTCTCTTTCTCTGTCCTCCTGTCTTCTCTCTTTCTCTGTCCTCCTGTCTTCTTCTCTTTCTCTGTCCTCCTGTCTTCTTCTCTTTCTCTGTCCTCCTGTCTTCTCCTCTTTCTCTGTCCTCCTGTCTTCTTCTCTTTCTCTGTCCTCCTGTCTTCTTCTCTTTCTCTGTCCTCGTGTCTTCTTCTCTTTCTCTGTCCTCCTGTCTTCTCCTCTTTCTCTGTCCTCCTGTCTTCTTCTCTTTCTCTGTCCTCCTGTCTTCTTCTCTTTCTCTGTCCTCCTGTCTTCTCCTCTTTCTCTGTCCTCGTGTCTTCTCCTCTTTCTCTGTCCTCCTGTCTTCTTCTCTTTCTCTGTCCTCCTGTCTTCTCCTCTTTCTCTGTCCTCCTGTCTTCTCCTCTTTCTCTGTCCTCCTGTCTTCTCCTCTTTCTCTGTCCTCCTGTCTTCTTCTCTTTCTCTGTCCTCCTGTCTTCTTCTCTTTCTCTGTCCTCCTGTCTTCTTCTCTTTCTCTGTCCTCCTGTCTTCTTCTCTTTCTCTGTCCTCCTGTCTTCTTCTCTTTCTCTGTCCTCCTGTCTTCTCCTCTTTCTCTGTCCTCCTGTCTTCTTCTCTTTCTCTGTCCTCCTGTCTTCTCCTCTTTCTCTGTCCTCCTGTCTTCTTCTCTTTCTCCGTCCTCCTGTCTTCTCCTCTTTCTCTGTCCTCGTGTCTTCTCCTCTTTCTCTGTCCTCCTGTCTTCTCCTCTTTCTCTGTCCTCCTGTCTTCTCCTCTTTCTCTGTCCTCCTGTCTTCTTCTCTTTCTCTGTCCTCGTGTCTTCTCCTCTTTCTCTGTCCTCCTGTCTTCTTCTCTTTCTCTGTCCTCGTGTCTTCTCCTCTTTCTCTGTCCTCCTGTCTTCTTCTCTTTCTCTGTCCTCCTGTCTTCTTCTCTTTCTCTGTCCTCCTGTCTTCTTCTCTTTCTCTGTCCTCCTGTCTTCTTCTCTTTCTCTGTCCTCCTGTCTTCTTCTCTTTCTCTGTCCTCCTGTCTTCTTCTCTTTCTCTGTCCTCCTGTCTTCTTCTCTTTCTCTGTCCTCCTGTCTTCTTCTCTTTCTCTGTCCTCCTGTCTTCTTCTCTTTCTCTGTCTCTGTCTTCTCCTCTTTCTCTGTCCTCCTGTCTTCTTCTCTTTTCTCTGTCCTCCTGTCTTCTTCTCTTTCTCTGTCCTCTGTCTTCTTCTCTTTCTCTGTCCTCGTGTCTTCTTCTCTTTCTCTGTCCTCTCTGTCTTTCTCTTTCTCTGTCCTCCTGTCTTCTTTCTCTGTCCTCCTGTCTTCTTCTCTCTTTCTCTGTCCTCCTGTCTTCTCCTCTTTCTCTGTCCTCGTGTCTTCTCCTCTTTCTCTGTCCTCCTGTCTTCTCCTCTTTCTCTGTCCTCCTGTCTTCTCCTCTTTCTCTGTCCTGTCTTCTGTCCTCCTTCTCCTCTCTTTCTCTGTCCTCCTGTCTTCTCCTCTTTCTCTGTCCTCCTGTCTTCTTCTCTTTCTCTGTCCTCCTGTCTTCTTCTCTTTCTCTGTCCTCCTGTCTTCTTCTCTTTCTCTGTCCTCCTGTCTTCTTCTCTTTCTCTGTCCTCCTGTCTTCTTCTCTTTCTCTGTCCTCCTGTCTTCTCCTCTTTCTCTGTCCTCCTGTCTTCTCCTCTTTCTCTGTCCTCCTGTCTTCTTCTCTCTTCTCTGTCCTCCTGTCTTCTCTCTTCTCTTCCTCCTCTCTTCCTCTTCTCTGTCCTCCTGTCTTCTCCTCTTTCTCTGTCCTCCTGTCTTCTCCTCTTTCTCTGTCCTCCTGTCTTCTTCTCTTTCTCTGTCCTCCTGTCTTCTCCTCTTTCTCTGTCCTCCTGTCTTCTCTCTTTCTCTGTCCTCCTGTCTTCTTCTCTTTCTCTGTCCTCCTGTCTTCTCTCTTTCTCTGTCCTCCTGTCTTCTTCTCTTTCTCTGTCCTCCTGTCTTCTTCTCTTTCTCTGTCCTCCTGTCTTCTTCTCTTTCTCTGTCCTCCTGTCTTCTTCTCTTTCTCTGTCCTCCTGTCTTCTTCTCTTTCTCTGTCCTCCTGTCTTCTTCTCTTTCTCTGTCCTCCTGTCTTCTTCTCTTTCTCTGTCCTCCTGTCTTCTTCTCTTTCTCTGTCCTCCTGTCTTCTTCTCTTTCTCTGTCCTCCTGTCTTCTTCTCTCTTTCTCTGTCCTCCTGTCTTCTTCTCTTTCTCTGTCCTCCTGTCTTCTTCTCTTTCTCTGTCCTCCTGTCTTCTTCTCTTTCTCTGTCCTCCTGTCTTCTTCTCTTTCTCTGTCCTCCTGTCTTCTTCTCTTTCTCTGTCCTCCTGTCTTCTTCTCTTTCTCTGTCCTCCTGTCTTCTCCTCTTTCTCTGTCCTCCTGTCTTCTCCTCTTTCTCTGTCCTCCTGTCTTCTCCTCTTTCTCTGTCCTCCTGTCTTCTTCTCTTTCTCTGTCCTCCTGTCTTCTTCTCTTTCTCTGTCCTCCTGTCTTCTCCTCTTTCTCTGTCCTCCTGTCTTCTTCTCTTTCTCTGTCCTCCTGTCTTCTCCTCTTTCTCTGTCCTCTTTCTGTCTTCTTCTCTCTTTCTCTGTCCTCCTGTCTTCTCCTCTTTCTCTGTCCTCCTGTCTTCTTCTCTTTCTCTGTCCTCCTGTCTTCTCCTCTTTCTCTGTCCTCCTGTCTTCTTCTCTTTCTCTGTCCTCCTGTCTTCTCCTCTTTCTCTGTCCTCCTGTCTTCTCCTCTTTCTCTGTCCTCCTGTCTTCTTCTCTTTCTCTGTCCTCCTGTCCTTCTTCTCTTTCTTCTGTCCTCCTGTCTTCTTCTCTTTCTCTGTCCTCCTGTCTTCTCCTCTTTCTCTGTCCTCCTCTTCTTCTCTTTCTCTGTCCTCGTGTCTTCTCCTCTTTCTCTGTCCTCCTGTCTTCTTCTCTTTCTCTGTCCTCGTGTCTTCTCCTCTTTCTCTGTCCTCCTGTCTTCTTCTCTTTCTCTGTCCTCGTGTCTTCTCCTCTTTCTCTGTCCTCCTGTCTTCTCCTCTTTCTCTGTCCTCCTGTCTTCTTCTCTTTCTCTGTCCTCCTGTCTTCTCCTCTTTCTCTGTCCTCCTGTCTTCTTCTCTTTCTCTGTCCTCCTGTCTTCTCCTCTTTCTCTGTCCTCCTGTCTTCTTCTCTTTCTCTGTCCTCGTGTCTTCTCCTCTTTCTCTGTCCTCCTGTCTTCTTCTCTTTCTCTGTCCTCGTGTCTTCTTCTCTTTCTCTGTCCTCCTGGGCTCTGCTGTTTTCTCAGCCCCCTCCCTCGGCCTCAAGAAAAGAAATGAGAGACAGACAGAAGCTCAGGGGAAGGATGGAATGCACTGAAGGTCCATGTTTAAGGACCGCGCTGATCCGTCCAGCTCCAGTGTGTCTGTCCTAGAGGCTGCAAGAGGGTACTGCAGCAGCCGTGCTCCACCCTCCAGCCTCCAGCCTCCACCCTCCAGCCTCCACCCTCCATCCTCCACCCTCCAGCCACCAGCCACCAGCCTCTACCCTCCAGCCTCCACCCTCCAGCCTCCAGCCTCCAGCCTCCAGCCTCCAGCCTCCAGCCTGCAGCCTCCAGCCTCCAGCCTGCAGCCTCCAGCCTCCAGCCTCCAGCCTCCAGCCTGCAGCCTCCACCCTCCACCCTCCACCCTCCAGCCTCCAGCCTCCACCCTCCAGCGTCCAGCCTCCTTTCTCCAGCCTGCAGCCTCCACCCTCCAGCCTCCAGCCTCCAGCCTGCAGCCTCCACCCTCCAGCCTCCAGCCACCAGCCTCCACCCTCCACCCTCCACCATCCACCCTCCAGCCTCCACCCTCCATCCTCCACCCTCCTGCCACCAGCCTCCTGCCTCCAGCCTGCAGCCTGCAGCCTCCACCCTCCAGCCACCAGCCTCCACCCTCCAGCCTCCAATCTCCAGCCTCCAGCCTCCAGCCTCCAGCCTCCACCCTCCACCCTCCAGCCTCCATCCTCCACCCTCCAGCCTCCACCCTCCAGCCTCCACCCTCCAGCCACCAGCCTCCACCCTCCAGCCTCCAGTCTCCAGCCTCCAGCCTCCACCCTCCAGCCTGCAGCCTCCACCCTGTAGCCTCCACCCACCAGCCTCCAGCCACCAGCCACCAGCCTCCACCCTCCACCCTCCAGCCTCCACCCTCCAGCCTCCACCCTCCATCCTCCACCCTCCAGCCACCAGCCACCAGCCTCTACCCTCCAGCCTCCACCCTCCAGCCTCCACCCTCCAGCCACCAGCCTCCACCCTCCAGCCTCCATTTACACTTGATCTTTTTGTTTAGGGCAACAATGGGGCGACAGTAGCTCAGTTGGTAGAGGACTGGCCTTTGGACCTAATGGTCGTGGGTTCAAATCCATCAATACCCATGTCACCTGCTGCCACTGATGTCTGCTGTTGTTGTGTCCCTGGGCAAGACACTTAACCCGACATTGCCACATAAAAAAATTACATAAAAAGTACATCAAAATGTACTTGTACAAAAAAAGTCTGTCTCCAGTCTCTGTCACTTCCTTAGGTCAAAGTCTTCAGACCTAATAGAGATAAAAGACAGAACCAACCTCACTCAGTTCTCTACAATGGAAACATGCCCTAAATCATGTTTAAATGTAGGATATTACAAAGTTACCCCCTGTTCAAAAATAAATATGGAAACATGCTTTTCATCACAAAGCCCTGACCTGGACCTACTTCCACCTGCCATTCACTCCCTCACCTCCCTCACCCTCCCTCACCCCCCTCACCCCCCTCACCTCCCTCACCCCCCTCACCTCCCTCACCCCCCTCACCTCCCTCACCTCCTTCACCTCTCTCACCCCCCTCACCTCCCTCACCTCCCTCACCCCCCTCACCTCCCTCACCTCTCTCACCTCCCTCACCTCCCTCACCCCCCTCACCTCCCTCACCTCCCTCACCCCCCTCACCTCCCTCACCTCTCTCACCTCCCTCACCTCTCTCACCTCCCTCACCTCCCTCACCCCCCTCACCTCCCTCACCTCCCTCACCCCCCTCACCTCCCTCACCTCTCTCACCTCCCTCACCTCTCTCACCTCCCTCACCTCCCTCACCCCCCTCACCTCCCTCACCTCTCTCACCTCCCTCACCTCCCTCACCCCCCTCACCTCCCTCACCTCCCTCACCCCCCTCACCTCCCTCTCCTCCCTCACCCCCCTCACCTCCCTCACCTCTCTCACCTCCCTCACCTCCCTCACCCCCCTCACCTCCCTCACCTCTCTCACCTCCCTCACCTCCCTCACCCCCCTCACCTCCCTCACCTCCCTCACCCCCCTCACCTCCCTCACCTCCCTCACCCCCCTCACCTCCCTCACCTCCCTCACCCCCCTCACCTCCCTCACCTCCCTCACCCCCCTCACCTCTCTCATCTCCCTCATCTCCCTCACGCCCCTCACGAATGTGTTGAGCTTTTGTGTTTATTTAATGTCATAATTAGTATATACTTGACTGTTGCTGCTGCATTGTTATTGTTGTATCGGATTTTGAGGACTCCCTCGGATATTAGATGAATTATTACAAGGGTCTATTCCTCTCAATAAACGTGAATAATAATAATAATAACAAACACACGACAGCCAATGGTCTCCAGGAGCCAGTGTCGGCGTTTAAAGGAGCCTGTGTCGGCGTTTAAAGGAGCCTGTGTCGGCGTTTAAAGGAGCCTGTGTCTGCGTTTAAAGGAGCCTGTGTCAGCGTTTAAAGGAGCCTGTGTCGGCGTTTAAAGGAGCCTGTGTCGGCGTTTAAAGGAGCCTGTGTCGCCGTTTAAAGGAGCCTGTGTCTGCGTTTAAAGGAGCCTGTGTCAGCGTTTAAAGGAGCCTGTGTCGGCGTTTAAAGGAGCCTGTGTCAGCGTTTAAAGGAGCCTGTGTCGGCGTTTAAAGGAGCCTGTGTCGGCGTTTAAAGGAGCCTGTGTCTGCGTTTAAAGGAGCCTGTGTCGCCGTTTAAAGGAGCCTGTGTCGGCGTTTAAAGGAGCCTGTGTCAGCGTTTAAAGGAGCCTGTGTCGGCGTTTAAAGGAGCCTGTGTCGCCGTTTAAAGGAGCCTGTGTCGCCGTTTAAAGGAGCCTGTGTCAGCGTTTAAAGGAGCCTGTGTCGGCGTTTAAAGGAGCCTGTGTCAGCGTTTAAAGGAGCCTGTGTCGGCGTTTAAAGGAGCCTGTGTCAGCGTTTAAAGGAGCCTGTGTCGGCGTTTAAAGGAGCCTGTGTCTGCGTTTAAAGGAGCCTGTGTCTGCGTTTAAAGGAGCCTGTGTCGCCGTTTAAAGGAGCCTGTGTCGCCGTTTAAAGGAGCCTGTGTCGCCATTTAAAGGAGCCTGTGTCAGCGTTTAAAGGAGCCTGTGTCAGCGTTTAAAGGAGCCTGTGTCAGCGTTTAAAGGAGCCTGTGTCGGCGTTTAAAGGAGCCTGTTTCAGCGTTTAAAGGAGCCTGTGTCAGCGTTTAAAGGAGCCTGTGTCTGCGTTTAAAGGAGCCTGTGTCTGCGTTTAAAGGAGCCTGTGTCAGCGTTTAAAGGAGCCTGTGTCAGCGTTTAAAGGAGCCTGTGTCAGCGTTTAAAGGAGCCTGTGTCAGCGTTTAAAGGAGCCTGTGTCAGCGTTTAAAGGAGCCTGTGTCAGCGTTTAAAGGAGCCTGTGTCAGCGTTTAAAGGAGCCTGTGTCAGCGTTTAAAGGAGCCTGTGTCAGCGTTTAAAGGAGCCTGTGTCGGCGTTTAAAGGAGCCTGTGTCTGCGTTTACAGGAGCCTGTGTCAGCGTTTAAAGGAGCCTGTGTCGGCGTTTAAAGGAGCCTGTGTCGGCGTTTAAAGGAGCCTGTGTCAGCGTTTAAAGGAGCCTGTGCCTGCGTTTACAGGAACCTGTGTCTGCGTTTAAAGGAGCCTGTGTCGGCGTTTAAAGGAGCCTGTGTCGGCGTTTAAAGGAGCCTGTGTCTGCGTTTAAAGGAGCCTGTGTCTGCGTTTAAAGGAGCCTGTGTCGGCGTTTAAAGGAGCCTGTGCCTGCGTTTATAGGAGCCTGTGTCGCGTTTAAAGGAGCCTGTGTCGCCGTTTAAAGGAGCCTGTATCAGCGTTTAAAGGAGCCTGTGTCGGCGTTTAAAGGAGCCTGTGCCTGCGTTTAAAGGAGCCTGTGTCGGCATTTAAAGGAGCCTGTGTCGGCGTTTAAAGGAGCCTGTGTCGGCGTTTAAAGGAGCCTGTGTCTGCGTTTAAAGGAGCCTGTGTCGGCGTTTAAAGGAGCCTGTGTCTGCGTTTAAAGGAGCCTGTGTCTGCGTTTAAAGGAGCCTGTGTCGGCGTTTAAAGGAGCCTGTGTCGGCGTTTAAAGGAGCCTGTGTCGGCGTTTAAAGGAGCCTGTGTCGGCGTTTAAAGGAGCCTGTGTCTGCGTTTAAAGGAGCCTGTGTCAGCGTTTAAAGGAGCCTGTGTCAGCGTTTAAAGGAGCCTGTGTCAGCGTTTAAAGGAGCCTGTGTCAGCGTTTAAAGGAGCCTGTGTCGGCGTTTAAAGGAGCCTGTGTCTGCGTTTACAGGAGCCTGTGTCAGCGTTTAAAGGAGCCTGTGTCGGCGTTTAAAGGAGCCTGTGTCGGCGTTTAAAGGAGCCTGTGTCAGCGTTTAAAGGAGCCTGTGTCCTGCGTTTACAGGAACCTGTGTCTGCGTTTAAAGGAGCCTGTGTCGGCGTTTAAAGGAGCCTGTGTCGGCGTTTAAAGGAGCCTGTGTCTGCGTTTAAAGGAGCCTGTGTCTGCGTTTTAAAGGAGCCTGTGTCGGCGTTTAAAGGAGCCTGTGCCTGCGTTTATAGGAGCCTGTGTCGGCGTTTAAAGGAGCCTGTGTCGCCGTTTAAAGGAGCCTGTATCAGCGTTTAAAGGAGCCTGCGTCGGCGTTTAAAGGAGCCTGTGCCTGCGTTTAAAGGAGCCTGTGTCGGCATTTAAAGGAGCCTGTGTCGGCGTTTAAAGGAGCCTGTGTCGGCGTTTAAAGGAGCCTGTGTCTGCGTTTAAAGGAGCCTGTGTCGGCGTTTAAAGGAGCCTGTGTCTGCGTTTAAAGGAGCCTGTGTCTGCGTTTAAAGGAGCCTGTGTCGGCGTTTAAAGGAGCCTGTGTCGGCGTTTAAAGGAGCCTGTGTCGGCGTTTAAAGGGAGCCTGAGTCGGCGTTTAAAGGAGCCTGTGTCTGCGTTTAAAGGAGCCTGTGTCAGCGTTTAAAGGAGCCTGTGTCGGCGTTTAAAGGAGCCTGTGCTGGCGTTTAAAGGAGCCTGTGTCGGCGTTTAAAGGAGCCTGTGTCGGCATTTAAAGGAGCCTGTGTCGGCGTTTAAAGGAGCCTCTCAATTGCGACTTGTGTTTGTTTTTCTTCTTTCCACCTGAACTTAAAGCTGGCCCCAGACTGAGCTGCTGAGTGAGATCCATGACCCGAGCGGACCCTTCAATCCCCCCCAACATCTGAGCGCACTTTCAAAGGGCTGGATCTGCTGCTCTGTCATCGCCCTGAGCTCTTCATGGTCCGAGGGGATCTGTCAAGACCGTGAGCGGCAAGTGACGTGTTCCGACACAAATATGGAGCTGCCACGTTTTCAGCTTCGATTCTGAAAGAACTGAACTCAAGGCTTTAAAACCTTTACCATTTCCATTCAGTATTGTTCACAAATGTGTCTAAATGTGCGTTAGTGAGTAGTTTTACTCATCTATAGTCTACGTCCATGGGTCTACAGCCTCAGTCCTGGGTCTACAGCCTCAGTCTTGGGTCTACAGTCTCAGTCCTGGGTCTACAGCCTCAGTCCTGGGTCTACAGCCTCAGTCCTGGGTCTACAGCCTCAGTCTTGGGTCTACAGTCTCAGTCTTGGGTCTACAGTCTCAGTCCTGGGTCTACAGCCTCAGTCCTGGGTCTGCAGCCTCAGTCTGGGGCCTGGGGGCAGATCCGGCCTCAGAGTAGTGCTGACCAGGCGTTCTTCTTCGGTCTCGCAGGACCTCCCAGCACTCAGAGGTGACCCCACAGATCTGACCCTCAGAGCTGACAGAGGAGCCACCCCTCGGCAGTGTTGTTGTTTGGGCTGGTTAGGGATTTACAGCAGAAGAAAGCCGCAGAAAAGCCTTTGTGACCACAAGCAGCTGGAGATAGCAGTGATACCTCTGAGGGACCGGGACGAGCTCTGCTGAGTCACCAGGAGAGGAGGAGACAGTCCCCCTCACTGCTCCCTGAGGTGGAAGATGGCTGCCCCTGGGGGTGTGTTGCCCAGAGACACAAAGACAGCAGACATCAGAGCAGTTGTCACAAATGGTCAGGGGATCGAACCCACGACCATTAGGGCGGCACGGTGGCTGAGTGGTTAGCACTCTCACCTCTCAACAAGTAAGTAATCTTTATTTACAGTATATACTGCCTTTCACAGACCAGAGTCACAAAGCGGTTTATAATTGTTATTTCTGGGAACTTGTCCTCTCACTCCACACAGAGATGGGAGCGGTCTAACCCTAACCACTAAAAACCTGTACAATAGGACTGGCATGCGCCTCCTGTACTGACCCATCTCTGTGTGGAGTGAGAGACAAATGTAAACCGCTGTGACTCTGGTCTGTGAAAGGCGCTATATAAATAAACATTACTTACTTACATTAGGTTCACACCCACAGCTCGGCCCCAGAAACAGACCGATGGTTGAAGGCGCTGCATACTTCTGACATGTCACAAATACATAAAAGGTTTTATACTCGCTTCAGATCCTGTCAGACCTCTGAAGCTAAGCAGAGAAGGGCCTGGTTAGTCCTGTGATGGGAGACCTCTGGGAGCACCAGGTCTCACAGTACTATTGTGGTGTCTGTAAAGAGCCAAATTGTCATTGTGTCCCTGGGCAAGACACTTCACCGACCTCACCACGGGGTCACTTAACTAAACTGGTCATTTCACGGATACTATGGTCAGAACAATTGGCGATACGACTGAAATAGAACCATTTTTATATTTGTTCTTTTAATCTTAAAATCATATACAGAATATAATCCAAAACACTGGTGAAATGTGTCCATCTGTGTGTGTGTGTGAATGGAAGCCTGTAATCCAGAATAATCTAGAGTGTTCTCACATGGTTCATTAATCTGCATCGTCTCAAATAAACATTTGGAACTAGAGCCCTGCACTTGAGCCCTTGGCCCGAGGGCCCGAGGGGCCCGAGGGGCCCGAGGGGCCCGACAGCCCGATGACCGGGCTTCGGGCCGATGACCGTAAAATGACCTTGGGCACGGGCCCAGGCACTTTTATTTATTCATTTTCAGAGCGGCAGATTAGATTTACGAACGCACACAAAGAATACAACGTTCTATCACGCTGTAGTGTTTATTGTTCTGTGTAGTGTTGTCATTGACGACACAGCTGTGTATCATACAGCTGTGTATCATACAGCTGTGTATCATACAGCTGTGTATCATACAGTATCTGTGTATCATACAGCTGTGTATCATACAGCTGTGTATCATACAGCTGTGTATCATACAGTATCTGTGTATCATACAGCTGTGTATCATACAGTATCTGTGTATCATACAGTATCTGTGTATCATACAGCTGTGTATCATACAGTATCTGTGTATCATACAGCCGTGTATCATACAGTATCTGTGTATCATACATCTGTGTATCATACAGTATCTGTGTATCATACAGCCGTGTATCATACAGCTGTGTATCATACAGTATCTGTGTATCATACAGTATCTGTGTATCATACAGCTGTGTATCATACAGTATCTGTGTATCATACAGTATCTGTGTATCATACAGTATCTGTGTATCATACAGTATCTGTGTATCATACAGTATCTGTGTATCATACAGCTGTGTATCATACAGTATCTGTGTATCATACAGCCGTGTATCATACAGTATCTGTGTATCATACAGCTGTGTATCATACAGTATCTGTGTATCATACAGCCGTGTATCATACAGCTGTGTATCATACAGCTGTGTATCATACAGCCGTGTATCATACAGCTGTGTATCATACAGCTGTGTATCATACAGTATCTGTGTATCATACAGCTGTGTATCATACATCTGTGTATCATACAGCCGTGTATCATACAGCTGTGTATCATACAGCTGTGTATCATACAGCTGTGTATCATACATCTGTGTATCATACAGCCGTGTATCATACAGCCGTGTATCATACAGCTGTGTATCATACAGCTGTGTATCATACAGCCGTGTATCTTGCAGCTGTGTATCATACAGCCATGTATCATACAGCTGTGTATCATACAGCTGTGTATCATACAGTATCTGTGTATCATACAGCTGTGTATCATACATCTGTGTATCATACAGCCGTGTATCATACAGTATCTGTGTATCATACATCTGTGTATCATACAGCCGTGTATCATACAGCCGTGTATCATACAGCCGTGTATCATACAGCTGTGTATCATACAGCTGTGTATCTTGCAGCTGTGTATCATACAGCTGTGTATCATACAGCTGTGTATCATACAGCTGTGTATCATACAGCTGTGTATCATACAGCTGTGTATCATACAGCCGTGTATCATACAGCCGTGTATCATACAGCCGTGTATCATACAGCCGTGTATCACACAGCTGTGTATCATACAGCTGTGTATCTTGCAGCTGTGTATCATGCAGCTGTGTTCATGTCAGTGCGCCGCACTGCATATACTAAGCTACAACATTGTTATTGGAGGTAAACAAAAAACCCGGTTGGGCTTGATCCGGGTTCGGGTCTGAGAATCCCGCCAGGTTCATGTAACAGGCCCGCGCAGGGCTCTATGTGGAACCATGAGACCAGGGGTTCTCACAGTTCTAAGACCGGGACCCCCGAAGGCATGAAACTGACTTGATATCACATGTAAACAATTTAAAGTATGTAAAATCTCGTATATAAGAACATATAAAGTTGAAATTATTAAGAGATTAAGAGAGTCACCTCCATCATGAACAACACCTCCCACTGCACAGGACTGAGGAGGTGCTGAGGAGCACCGCTGTCAGACTGTACAATGAGTCACTTTAAGTCACTGTATAAGACTGAAAGAACCTGCACTAATATTGACGCTGTTTCTGATTGCCACTCTTTAAATTGACTCTTGACACTTTTTTATTGTACATAATTATCCTGCATTTAACATGTTGCACATTTCTTTCTTTTTGCACAATCTGAGTGTTTCTGTCCGTGCCAAATGTACATTTCTCCTTTGTAAGATAAATAAAGCATATCTTATCTTATCTCTTAGAGATTTTATACCAACTTATTTATTATGCTAAAATCTCTAACTTTAGCCAAATAAATCTAGCCTAATAAAGAAGCAAGTCTAGCGTCTCCAAAGTGCACGAGGCTGTAGCAGTTTCAAGTGCTGTTATTTGAACTTTCTTTCCCTCGAACATGTAAGAAAGTGTGTTAGCATAACACCATTACTGTTCCAACTTATCTGATTGTAGCTAATGTGTTTTTTAACCTGCTCTGACAGCTGATCCATCAGGTGGCCCCTAATCCTGTTAGAGACACACACACACACACACACACACACACACACCCAGACACATACACATACACACACACACACACACACACACACACACACACACAGGAGGCCCCCAGGGGACATTCAAAACTCCCTAATCCTGACAGCTTCAGAGCCGTCCCCAACACTAGGTCAATAGCCATTTACGCTATGCTAACGTGCTACTGACCTCGGCCTGTTGTTTTGGGGTGTGCAGCCATGACTTTAATCCAGAGAGAGACCAGAGAGAGACCAGAGAGAGACCAGAGAGAGACCAGAGAGAGACCAGAGAGACCAGAGAGAGACCAGAGAGAGACCAGAGAGAGACCAGAGAGAGACCAGAGAGAGACCAGAGAGAGACCAGAGAGACCAGAGAGAGACCAGAGAGAGACCAGAGAGAGACCAGAGAGAGACCAGAGAGAGACCAGAGAGAGACCAGAGAGAGACCAGAGAGAGACCAGAGAGAGACCAGAGAGAGACCAGAGAGAGACCAGAGAGAGACCAGAGAGAGACCAGAGAGACCAGAGAGAGACCAGAGAGAGACCAGAGAGAGACCAGAGAGAGACCAGAGAGAGACCAGAGAGAGACCAGAGAGAGACCAGAGAGAGACCAGAGAGAGAGACCAGAGAGAGACCAGAGAGAGACCAGAGAGAGACCAGAGAGAGACCAGAGAGAGACCAGAGAGAGACCAGAGAGAGAGAGAGAGAGAGAGAGAGGCCAGAGAGAGACCAGAGAGACCAGAGAGAGAGACCAGAGAGAGACCAGAGAGAGACCAGAGAGAGCAGAGAGAGAGAGAGAGAGAGAGCAGAGAAACCTCTCTTAAACTGAGCTTTTAATATTATCTCTGACTCTTCTGACCTCTGGAAAAGCTATGTTCCAGCTTCTTCCCTCTGACAGAAGATTTGGTTCTCTGAGACGCAGGACAGTTCCCTTTCCAACAGTTACATTAATACAAACTGTTATTAGT